AGCTGTCTATGGACACCCTGTGTACAGAAGATTAAGAACTCCTTAATGCGCTCACACATTCAGTCTTCTGTTAACTTCCCCTTCCCTGTAGACAGTGAAATCCACCTATTAAGAACAGAAGACTGAAAATTCTCATCAACAATGCTTCAATGTTCTACAGAAAGTTGACAGTCATGTATACTGTTGAACTAGGTTCCTAGACATGTCCTCAGTAAGAAACAAATGTAATATTACAAATTCTTAACAATATAAATAACATAATGTCACAGACAATGTTAATGTATTAATTTGTTTTAAAGAATAAGGTCACTAACCTAGGTGGCACATATGTTCAATTGCATAGCAGGGGAGGTTGAGGGAGGAGGATAATGAATTGTAAACTTGACTTCTGAGTGTAGTGAGAATCTCTCACAATGATCCACAGAGCTTGGGATGTAGTTCAGTAGTAGAATGCTTGCCTGGCATGAGTGAAGCCCCGTGTTTGATTCCTCAGTACCACAGAAAAAGCTAGAAGTGGCAGACGCTGTGGCTCAAGTGGCAGAACTCTAGCCTTGAACAATACAGCTCAGGTACAGGGTCCTGCTCCTGAGTTCAAGCCTCAGAATTGCCAAAATAGAAAAACAAGAAAGCTTTAAGCATAATGATCCACAGAACAATACAAAATAAAAGAATGATTAAATGAAGCAATGAGCACAAAACTCGCTGCTTTCAGTGAATCTCTGGCTCAACCTAGTGGAATTTTGTACATTGCAACTTCTGACCAGCAGCTTGGCTTCTGGAAAAACTTTTTTCTAGTGCTGCCCTGTGGAGAACAGAATAATTCCCTACGATCACACTGTCTCTCTGTCTCTGGCTCTGGCTCTGGATCAGTCTCTGGGTCTGTGTCTGTCTCTCCTTCTCTGGGTCTGTGTCTGTCTTACTGTCTTTGTCTCTGTCTCTGAAACTTTCTGTCTGTCTGTCTATCTATCTGTCTGTCGGTCTGTCTATCTATCTGTCTGTCTGTCTCTCTTTCTCTCTCTGTCTGTCTCTCTCTGTCATTTTGTACTGATGTTGTTGTACAAACTCTGTGCCTGAGTATGTCCATGAGCTTTGATCTCAGGGCTTTTGCCCTACCACATGAGCCACATCTTCACTTCTGGTTTTTTGGAGATTAATTGGAGACAAGAGTTTCACAGACATACCTGCTCAGGCCAGCCTCCAACCTTCACTCTCATATATCAGGGTCCTGAACAGTTAGGATTAGAGTCATAAGACAATAATGTTAGATTAGGAATTCTTTTAGTATGCAGTGTGTCTTTGCAAGCTGGCGTCCACAAATTAACAAGCTAGTTATTTTTAATCCTATTTTTTAAAAGAAGAATGCATTTTGTGTAACAAACACATATACATGTACATCTAGCTCAATTGGGTTCCTAGAACTTTCTCACCATGAAAATACACATGCATACATATAACAGGAGCCACATTAACATTTCAGTGGTCCTATACTGAGTGGCACCACTCAGTACAGTTCTAAGCACTAACTTGGAATTCTGGAGTATGAGCTCTCTGTTGCCATCTTTGGACATGAGAGGAAGTAAGCTCTAGCCCCATCCCATAGTCATCTTTTTTTTTTTTTGGTCCAGTCGAGGGGCCTGAACTCGGGACCTGGGCCCTGTCTTTCAGCTCTTCAGCTCAAGACTAGCACTCTACCACTTGAGCCACAGCGCTACTTCCGGCTTTTGTCTTTTTGCTTATGTGGTGGTCAGGAATGGAACCCACGGCCTCCAGCATGCAAGGCAAGCACTCTACCACTGAGCCATTTGACTAGCCCCGTCTTTCTTTTAAATGGCTTTTACCCTTTTCCCAAGTGAGATTCAAGAATTAAGAGCAGGAGATTCCATATCTTCTTCAATAAGACAGAGGTATTCCTCGCTGAAAAGTAAAACATCATGTTGATTTCACTTAATCGGGCTCCTAGAATTGTCTCAACATAGATTAAATAAATGAATGAATAAATACACAACTATGTATAAATTATTGAGTTAATACAAATTAATGAATTTCTTTGAAAATGACCATAGAAAATTTGTTTTAAAGAACAGTGTATGGACTGGGAATGTGGCTCCGTGGTAGAAGTGCTTGCCTCGATCCAACCTGCTTTCACTTTTATATGTAGCTTTACTTTTAGGTAAGATTTTTTCTGCAGGAAAATGTTTTCTCCTTTAGATATACTGCCATGCTTGAAGGGATGGTATAAAAACATTGGCAGCAAAAAAAAAAGAAACAAAAGCAAAATCCCATAACCATTGCAAGTTTCAGTCCATCTGTGGCACCATCAAGTGGAGATTTCCTGTAACATAGTCCCAAAGTATGAATTCTGCTCTCTGGTGGTCAAGACTGGGGATAGTGGACAAGGGCTCCGCAATCTACTCCATCCTCTGCAACCCAGAAAAGAAACCAAACAGAGGGGATGGGGCCCAAACAGTGACAAATACCAAAACTGATGATGCAGTCATCTTTTCCTCTTCCTCCTCTCTTCTTTCCCTACTTCTCCTCCTCCTCTTCTTCTCCCCTTCAACCTCTTTCTCCCCCCCTCCTCCATCTCCTCCAAGTCTTCTTCTACCAGACCTACTCCTTCACCTCTTCCTCCACCTCTTCCCCCCTTCCTCCTCTACCTCTTCTTCCACTTCTTTCCCCCTTCCTCCTCATGCTCCTCCTCCTTCTTCTCCTTCTAAATATCCACCTCCTCTTACTTCTCCTCCTCCTCATCCTTTTTCTCCTTCTCCTTCACTTCCTGTACCTATTTTTCCTCTTCCTCCTCCTGTTCCAGATCCTCCTCCTCCTCCAGCTTCTCCTCCAGGCCTCCTCCTCCATTTCCACAATCATTACACTATCATTTCCACCTCCTTTTCTTCACTTTTGCGTGCTACAGATGGACCCCTAGGGCATGCTAGAATTTTCAATCACTGAAGACTCTTATATCACTGAGCTACACCCCAAATCCTTTTTTGGATGAAGGATCTAACTTTGAAAACTAAATCCCTCCATCCTCTTGTGTCTGCCTCAATGAAGGGATTCCAGACAGTGAGGACCCTAGCATGATGTAGTGTGTTCCTAAGAAGAAAGAGAGAACAACCTGTAGACAATCAAACTATGATTATCAGCTAAAATGTGGGCAATGCCATAACTACAAATCTCTAGCAAAAAGGCAGTGAGGATTAGGGGTAGGAGAGCCCATATCCCTTCAAGCTTTGTGCAGGGGTAAAGCAGAACTCTGTGGAAGATGGGATTTGTGGTCAGCAACTTCTCTTCCTTGTGGGCTCCCCAAGGGGAACAGGGGGGCCTGGGTAGGGTCGGGGCTTTCGATGGAGAGGGAGAGGTGTCCACTGGCGGCTCAATGTCATCTGTGACGTTCAGGAAGGGCTAGCTATGAAGAGAAGAGGGATAAGCAGGCGAGGTATTCTCTCTGCTGCATGGGTGGAGAGGAGGACCCGGACAGTGTTGCTGAGTGTGAGGCTATACCAGGCATAGCAGAGCCAGATTCTTCTTGGTCACGTGGGGCAGGCATCTAGCGGGACTTCCATGGGAGGCTGGGCGAAGCCACTTCCTTCCTGCTGCTGATTGGCTCAGGGCTTTTGAACAGGAGGAGCTGGCTCAATTTTTCCTGGTCTCGGTTCCGAATTAGATGTAGGCTGGGTAATCTGAGGGCAGGTGACCGCCAAGTCCTCGCTGGGCATCAGGCCATAGCACGCTTCATTCCTGGTTCGTTTCAGAAGTCGCCAGGGTCACAGCAAGTAGGGCTTTCCATATACCTACCTGAAAGCTGAGAAACGGAGTTCCAGGTTTCTCTGCTTGTGTTCAGTAGCTTAAACCAGAGCACCTTTTCATCTTTCTCTTGCACTTGCTGCACTGGCGGAGTGCTGCATTGCAGCGGTCCGGCTTCTTCTCCACCAGGTGCAGGTGACATGTCCATCATGGCAATCGTGGGAATGGATGCAGATGGTCACCACCTTGGGGTGCTGGCACAGGACCTAGGCGAGCTGCTGCTGCCACCTCCCGTAATGAAAAATCTGGCTTGGTTTCTGGGACCCCAGGCACAACCAGATAGGCAGTGATCGAGGGGGGCACAGGGCTAGGGGTGGGCACCTAGTCATGAACCTGATGATCAGAGGACTCAGTGGGCCTGAGGGAGGGGGCCCCGAGGATGCTGGCTGTGGGGCCCAGCTGGCTCTGCCTGGCTCTCAGCAAGCTGCTCCAGAAAAACCCCAGCCTGCCGAGTCTGGACAGCACGGCACTGCACTGCCTGGCTGAGGCTCAGAACATAGCCTTGTTGCCGCCCAGGACCAGGCTTCTGCAAGTTGGTGCCCAGAAGCCGTCTGCATTTGGTGCGCTGGAGCCTCCAAGGGCTGCGTGTTTGGAATCCGGGTGACTGCTGGGACCTTGCAGTGCCCCAGTACCTGTCCAGAGCACTGCTACGTTGCTGCCCATGAGCACGAGCATTGTTCAGCAAGTCCAGAGTCTTGTGGCTGTGGGATCAGAGCTTCCCACGAGGAAACCTCTGCACATATGTGCGGCCAATGCAGACAGGAAGCGCTCTCGGCTCTACTGATCATTGGTCTCCAGGAAGCCAGCAGACATGATGGGGTGCTGGGCACTTGGGATCCTCTGTCTAGCAGTGCTGCTCGAGCCTAGTGCTTGTTCTTTGCACACGTGGGGAACAGTGAGGGGCACAGAGTAAACCTGTGTGCCCCAAGCTGCTGCGTAAAAATCAATTGGAGTGCCCTGAGGCCCATGCACACATCCCATACACCCACAAAACACATAAAATTTAAGGTGCATGCCCATGTGTATCATCAGACTCTTCAGTAAGCTTGCTCGTGCATGTAAGCAAGCCAGTGTGCAGCAGGAATCCCATGTGCACAAACAGACGCATGGGGACTCAGGCTTGAAGGACTCCAGAAGTCCCAGGAGCACCAGGAAGCACGTGTGTAACAGGAGGCACATGCTAAATACAAGGATTACATGCACCGAAGGCCCATGTGCACCAGCAGTTTCACATGCACCAGCAGTCTTTCATGCACTTGGATGGGTACGCACAGACGATTGGCAGGTGCTCCTGGATGTGCACACACACCAGAAGGCTGACGTGTACCAACAGGTGCACCACTGAAAGAAATCACACCAATAGCATGGGTAACCCATGCACAGCAGGAGGACCACGTATGTCAGGAGTCAATGAAAATCAGGTTAAAATCATGGGTTAAATGTTCAAATCGAGGCATTTTGACAAAAGAATTCAATTAAGTTCTATTTATATGTTTAGTTTTTTAAAATAAAATAATGTCAAATGTATTTTTCTAGTTTGGAAATAAATAACCTGAATATTCATGGGTAGATCTAAAGGTACATGAAATTAGAAAATGACAATGACAAAGATACTCAAATAATTATGTGCTCTGTTCAACTTATTAATCCATGAAAAGTTGATAATTTCCCAATAAGAAAATGAAGAGTAATCCTCAGACATTGTCTCCCTAAACAACTCACCAGGGGGTTCCTTCAATTGTTTCTATGATAAGAGTTCCACTTAGAATATTTTCCTCACGTTACAAAATTCACAATAGTATACTTCGGTAAGGTGATCATGTTCATGTGAATATTTTTCATTCCATACAATTCTTTTATCTTTTATATAGCAAAGCATAGACATTTATTTAAAATAGAGTAATTTTTTTTCAAAAATATATGAACAATATTTCATTGATTCTAATAAGATAAAAGAATAGATCAGAGAAATCCAGAAAAATATTTCCATGTTTACTTGGATATTCCTATTGAGTTGATGAGTAAATTTAAAAAGTGTAAAGAGTTTTAAATGTTTAAAACGTTTAAAAGAGTTTAAAATGTTTAAAATGGCGATAGTGATCATCACCTCATATACATTGTTTTTCTTTAATTAGAGAATCAGTGTTCAATCCAAAAAGTATTGATTGTTAGGAAGAAAGAAGTTTATTGAGAACAGTACACTTTTTAGCCATTTTATATAGTTTGTTTATTTTCTTCTTACCCAGGAACATGAGATCCAGATGAAAATTGCATTTCAGTTGCCAGTTGTGAAAGTATTTCATTGTGTTCCTAAATTTTGGGGCTAAGGTATATCCAAACATAATTGTTATGTATGATACAGATACTCATTTTAGGTGCTAGATGATGTCTGAGTTCAGGCACTTTGCTGAGCAAGATATAAACAGGTGTATTGAAGAAACTAAACTAGTACCATGAAACAGTGACTCAAAAATAATTAGAAATAGTTGTAAAGCTTCAAGAAGAAAATTTAAAAATGCCTCTTTAAGACATGTTTTGTTCACTTTGGTTAGAATTGCCAGACTTCAAGTAATAGGATGATAGGATTTAAAGATTTGCACTAGTAAGGATGAAATTATTGAGCAAAATATTCAATGAGTGACCATGACAGATAAAGGTGTCATCATTATTTAAAGGGAGATTTATGCATGAAACAAATTGTTTAGATAGTGATACAGGTGGGCACATTGCAAAAATGAGATTGTCCTACAAGATGTTATATCAGAAAACAAACATTACAACTTTGGCCTCCGGGGTGTGGGGTGGTTGTTTTGGGTGGGGAAGTGAAGGAGGGGATATAAGAAAGGATGATAATGTGAAACAAAGGAGAAAGAAACAATGCTTGATAAGAAATGTACTCATTACCTTTCTCATGTAATAGTAACCCCTCTCTATAGTTTTTCTCAGTTAAAAATATGGAAAACTAAAGGAGCTCTTTATACTAAACTCAATCATCCTAAGAGAATGGATATTGCCATGTTACCAAGAGTTGATTACACAAACAGGGAAATAATCATCAAGCATTGCAATGGTCTAAAGGGGCTACGTTATTGTAGGACTTGTGCTAGAAATGAAACAAATATACTTTCCTTTCAAACTTTTCTTCCATTGAGCATAGTATATACTTATTGGTTTGATTCCATGGAACTCAATGGTGAACATTGAGAGGACACACAGGCATATTTGCAGAAATGTCAACATGATTCTATGCAACCAATTTTCTCATACAGAAATTGAACATTTTATATTTTGATGAAATTTGTTTCTAGATTATGGATTACAGCATTAAATAATTGAAAATTACTCAACAAAATTATGAATCACACACTGTGCATCAGTAGACTTAAGCAGGTCCCTTTACCAGTGTCATGTCATTTACCCAAACTGTAGCACAGTCTTGTAACTTGATTAACAGCAAGAAGTCTGACTTACCAAGTTCTTATGAAAGATTTAATGTATAACTGTGAGGAAAGTGAGGAAATATTTAGACTCACTTTCAGAGATTTCAAATGTACTTCCACAGGGAGAAAACATTTTAATTTGGTACTTAGTTGCTTGGACTTACAGAAAAATACAGGAAATGGAATAAGACACTGAACCTGTGAGAAGCCAAACCGCTGACGTTACAGAAACTAAGAACAAAGTATGGTTTTTATTTATGACAGGGTCGTTAAAAATATAAGATTGTACATGCAAGGAGAGTGAAGATAAACCACACCTTTCTGATGTTTGTCAAAGTAAACCACCAAGCAGAGCAGGAAACCTTACCCTCTCGATAGATAAGGACTAACATCAAGTAGCTGTCTCAACAGCAGAGGTCACGTGCTTACCATGTGCCTTCAAGATGAGGCTGCAGTTATTCTATCATTGATAGAACCATAATTTCTTTGTCATGATAAATCAGTTTATTGAACATCATCCCACCTTATGGCAAGTCAATGCTTCCCCGCAGGTAAAAATGATAAAAGCAAAGGTTGCACAGCATGCTCTGTTTTTTTCCCTTTTAAGCTTTCTGAGAACTCTGCTGTTGTTCAGTAGAATTGAACACTTGGTGGCTTTCCTATCCTTTCTAACACATAAAAAATATCATACTGTTTATATCTATTTGCTTGGGTCTGACCTTCTGTCTGGTTTGAGTGGTACACTAATTGCCAGTGCAGGTTTCATTCTTTTCTTGTGGCAGTTTTCATAAGAACAGGAAATCAAAAATTCATATATTATAAAGTAGACCTAAAATTGTGTGCATACAGGGCAATAGAAGACTTTTCTTCATTATGACACCCCAATTACTTGTTCACCTACTGAAGACGTACTCATGTGAAGAAGGTTTAATCACTAACATATCATTTATCCAATACTTACCATGTTCTTCTACTTGGACTATGAGGCAGCAGCAACTACTTCAGTTCCTTCAAAAGATAGTAATAATAGTGTACAGAGGGGTTAAAATACATGAGTAAGGTAATGAATACATTTCCTATCGAGCATTATCACCTTCTCCTTTGATTTTCCCCTACAATCCCTTGTCACCCCACCTCCTCAATTACTCCACATTCCCAAATTGTAAAGGTGGTTTTCAATATCATGTCTCATACATATTATTGTTACAACTCGTCAACCAGTATCCTATTTCAGCATTTGTTATTTCCCTTCCCTCCACAAATTAGAAAAATGTATAAAAAAGTCACAGGACACTGTCATCAAATAGAGTGAAAATATGGGTTATAATTTGGGGAAGAACATACAAGAAAAATAAATAAATCTCATAGAACAATTTAGAATCATTAAAAATAATAGCAAGAAAGTAGGAACAACTTGTGTCCCTATCTATTCATTTCATTTATCCTCTTCTTGTATAGTCATATATACATAACTTTTGGACCTTTCTGCTTCTCCTCGATTTATACTATTTACTGTAAATGAGGGAAATCATGAGACCCATGTTTCTTTGCGCTGGCTTATTTCACAATATAATTTTTTCCAAGACTTTCCATTTCCTAACAAATGGGGTGATAACATTCCTTCTGATGGAGGCCTTTAATTCATTCTTAACTGCGGATTAGAAGGATAAATATGGGGAAGGTGGGGAACAGTGAATGTTGTGAATTAACGAGTTTTGTCCAGCATTGAATAAAATTAATTTTTTACAAAGTAATTGTCTTCAGAAAGGGAATATTAGATAAGAAATATATTTCACTTTTAGATAGTAAATAGATTGTAGAAACTGTGTCGAATCTTCTAACAAATAGGTAAATATTAGCACGCTTTTCGAGGTATATCTTTGATCACAATACAATGATTAAAAATACAAAAAACCACTTGCTGTTAATGTAATCTCACTTAAATGAATTCTGTGCAAATGAAAGATTATTATTCCTACAATATCTTCAGCGTTTTGTAAATGTGGTTAGTGATTTTAGATCTACATGTCTGATAATTTTCTGTTCCTTCTCCATTAATATCTGGGTTTCCTCTAGAGGAAGCAAAATAAAGTGAATTGGAACACTTCATTGCAAATTTTCTCTTCAGAGATGCTGTGAAATTTCGCCGATGTTGTTTAAATACCTGTGGATAATTTTTAAGTTGCTACTTTGGTATTTTATTAGATAAGAGTAAGAACAGCTGAGCTACATTGGCTAAAACCTATAATCCAAAATACTCAGGATGGTGAGATCTGAGGATAAGTTTCAAAGTCAGCACAGGCAGGAAAGTCCATGAGATATTTTACTCCAAATTACCATCAGAAAATTGAAAGTGGCGAACTTTCTCAAGGGGCAAAGCTCAAGCCTTGAGCTAAAGTATGCAGAGACAAAGCCCACGCTTACAATACAAACTCCAAGACAGACAAAAAAAATAAAGCCAGAAGAGAAGAATTTGCAATATTTCTGTGTAATATTGAAGGACTAAAAAGCACAATGTTTGACAGAAGTGTTTCATATTGCTCCCTGCCATATGTTGATATGACATTTTTGCAGGAAATGTATAGAGAGCTTTGCCAAGTTCCAAATCTATCAATTCAAAATTTTCCATTAAAATCATCTCAATCTCATTACAAAGTTGTTTCCATGTGAGGGAGAATGTGGGATATAAATGGCCTTTTCCTACATATACATTGGTTCTTAATAATGTGTTATATACTATCAAGAGTCTTCCATGAGTGTCTTACTGACAGTAGATATTTACAAATGTACAAAGTAATTTTTGGGAATATTGAGAGACGAACATTGAATTTGGAATCAATGCAAAACTTATAGGATTATTTTGTCTTGCAATGACAGAGACATGAGTTACAGGGAATTGTC